TTCCACTAAATATGATGAAGGAAATGCAATTAAAAACTTTTGTACTAAGCCCATAATCCAGGATAAAGTGTAGGTATCTGCTTTTGCAGCCAGAACTGTTGGTAGCTGTCTTTGAATTTAAATTTCAATTCCTCATTTGTTGTTACTTCTATCAGTTCTTCTTGTAATTTTGGAGATTCTTCTGTGTTTGTACTTGAAAAAGAGTCCAAAACCCAATCGGGTATGTTCATTTTAAGAATATCTTCAAATCATTGATCGAAGTCAGAATGGAGAGCCTCCAAGTGCTGACAATAGGTAAGCAAGTCTTCATCATGTTTTTCTACTGTTGATAAATTTGGAAACTGGTTGAATTCTCCTCGTCCTAAATTTCATTTGTACAGAAGAAGTTTTGCCACAAACGCGGAAATAACAGTTTTTGTTTTGATTAAATTCAGCTCATCACCTTGGAGCTGTAAATTTGTTTCATTAAATTTATTAAACAAGTCTGTCAAATAAGCTGTGTCATTTTTGGAATCAATCAAGTTGGCTCGTAAAGCATCATCTTTGTTTTCTAGGAACTCTAGCACTGAGTCAAAGAGTTTATAAAACCGATCCAAACAGGCACCTTTTGATAGACAACGAACTTCTGTATGAAGCAGCAAGCGACTGAATTCTTCATCGTTTTCAATACAAAGTTGTCCAAACAATCTGTCATTCAATGAATTGCTTCTGATTTTGTTGATTGCTTTAATGACATAATGTAATGACCTATGTAGGTGTTCACTCAGATTTTTGGCAACTAAATGTTGACGATGAATGACACAGTGTACAGCGAATACATTCGGAACCGCTTTTTTAAAATATGCAAGAAAACCCTTGTAGCGCCCTATCATCGCTGGAGCACCATCAGTCGCAACTGACAAGATATTACTCAGGGGGATTTCTTTTTCTTTAAAAAACTCTTCCAATGAATGAAATATCGATTCTCCGTTAGTATCAGTTTGCAAATTTTTAGTAAATAATAATTCTTGGCAAATTTTTTCTTCTTTTATGAATCGCATGTATGCTAAAAGTAAGGCTTCATTTCCTGGCAAAGTTGACTCATCAAGCTGTATAGAGAACTGGGATGTTTTTAAATACTCACATAATGAGTCTTCAACATCTTGAGCCATTTCATCAGTTCTTCTTTGCACTGTATTATTGCTCAAAGAAATTTTCTTGGTAATATCAGACGCTGGCTTGTGTAGCATAGTGCGTATTACCTCACTTATAGCCGGTAGAATTAGTTCTTCACCAATAGTATGCGGTTTTCCCGATTTAGCAATCGGTAACAAAATGTTGTAAGAAGCACGCAACCCATCGTCATCTTCTTTGGATGCTATTGAAAAGAGTTTTGCCAATGTTGGCTGTCTCAAAAATTTTTCTTTAAGTGCTTGAAAATAAGATAAATCCTTATCTTTCTTATCAGCATGAACTTTTGTCAAATGTTCTTGTAGTCTTGAAGGCTTCATAGCTTCATTTAATAAAACTTTTTCGCAAATCAGGCACATCGGTAATGTATTGTTTGTAGGCGACTGAATAAAGGCATACTTCAAGTATTCAATACTATATTGTCTACATTTTTTCTTGGGTTCAGTATCGTATTGTAAACAAGTCATTACACGCACATATTCCTGCCGATGCATGCTGGATTTCCGGACAATATGCGACACGCTCGCCTGCCAACACTTGCTTGTTAAGAGCTGTTGGCGGACTTGACACCTGATCCGTTATAATTTGTGAATTTATTTGGAAAATAAAGTAATCACTACAAATTTAACTCTATGTTACACAACAGATGAAACATGTACGAACGGTTTTTCAAAATTTTCTTATATTCTCGTCTTTCTTTATGCTTCCACCGCCCCCTTATTTTTATTCAATGCCCCCCAATTGCACCCGAGGCTACTACTGCCCCCCTGGATCGTTCCAGCGCCCCCCAGGGGGCGGTATCACCCACTTTGGGAATCTCTGACATAGAGAGTCGTGGGTTTCTTCTTCTGAGTCAGTGAGGAATGAATCTTTGACCTCTGACCATTACACCAACCAACAACCACTTGCTTTGAGGCTAGCCTCGTCTTCATTTGCAACCCCCAAGGCTTCATCTGCATTTCATGGGTATTTAGCTGCAAGTAAATACAAGATGTAAATGTAATGACGGGGGTATATGCAATGTACATGTAGGATAACAGCAAACAAAAATCCTTCGTTAGTTTTCATGAAGTTTCCACATCAAATAGCTTTTCATCTTAACACTAACACACACTTTAATTTAGGCTTATCTAGTTACTGGGGCACAGATAATGGAAAGGTAATGTAATAATAAACAGCAGGATTTAGACAAGCAAAAAAAAATACACTTAGTATCTCTGTTTTGATCTGTATCTGCACAAGTGAATTGGCCTGAATACATCTTGATACCCATAACTCTCTTTTTTTATATGTATACGCAAGTGAATTTTTACTATGATTTCAGTTGGTCTGTCAGCATCACAAGAGCAACATATTTCATATACTTTCATTGCTTTCTAATATTAGTTACCAACTGGGAGCAAGAAGGAAGATCAGCACCATGCCGATTGAGTTGCATAAAAAGGACTCGGTGTAAATGAGAATTGGGCTCCGTATTTTTTAAAAAATACAGAAATGAACTCATTTCGCTTTTCTTTTTGCATTTATAAAACTCTAAAACCAGATAAAGCCTTTAAAATAAACCTGTACCAAAAATATCATTTGGGTTCAGGTTCCTTAATCTCCAAAATGCAGCCTGGAGCAAGTATCTATGCCTGAAAGGTACGATCCTAATGGCTGAGATGTATAAAATAGAACTGTTACAAAGCCTTTAACCATAGCTGCACTGTTGTGCAATGAAGCTGAAACAATACATATTTCCATAAACTCACCCTTTCAAAATAGGCAAAGTGAGATGTATAAAAATAGCTATTGCACTAGTTTTAATTATGAATTAAATTGTTACAGATGTTGGAACTCTTGCAGCCTAATATGTTATAGATAAAAAACATTAATAACTTTCAAGCCATTTGTGGCTTATTTAATATTAATATCAGAGTGTGAAAGAAAACAATGCTTAGTGCGCATGAACTCTCCATCTTAGCTTTATGATTCAAGTATTTCCAATAACAAACACCCCCCCACACACACGTGGATTAAGAAAATAAAACATGAATAATTACTGTGAAATACCTGTTAAAACTGTGCTATTGCTACTGAAAATGCCATTTTATACAGCAATACAAATGTAAAATAAAATATGTGTGAACAATGATAATACTCACCATCAGGGGCAGGTCCTCTGCTGGACAAGGGACTTGAAGTTTGGAGTGAGTTCAGTCAACGTAAGAAGGCCCTGATTGTCCCCCCAACCCAGCTCCCCTCCCTTAGCCCCCTCGATTACCACTCATCTCCCCATCCCTGATCCCCCAATTGCCCCCCACCCAGGTCCCCTCCCCTAGCCCCCCTGCCCTGCCCAGAGAGGCTCCCTGCCCCCCGCTCACTGAGCCTGGATACCAGCACCTGCTTGTTCACCCTCATGGCCCACTCACTCCATCCCTGTGCTCCTGCTGGAGCTGGTGGGGCTGCAGCTACACGAGCAGCCACCCAGGGACACCGTGCACCCCAGAGCCTGGCCCAGCTGGGGTGACCCTGCGCTAGGGAGTGGGCACATCTCTGCATGGCTCCAGCCCCAGCTCGGATGCAGCCCATTTCACCTTTGCACAGGGTGGGGTGGCTACGGGGAGGGGGGGGGCTAAGGGAAATTTTGGGGTGTCTGTAACCCTCAGAATCCCCCCCTAGTGCTGCCACTGATCACAAACTTAATCAGTAATAAAACCCCATATCCCCAGCCCTAGAAAGCAGAGAAGTGTCAGACACTTCCTCCCCCAGTTCACAAGGTAAGTGGGAAGCTGCACAAGGTCACTTCAGGTGGAACTGGGAAGAGAACCCAGGTCGCCAATGTGGAAAGCCCAGGCACTAGCCACTCATTTCTCTTTTGGGATAAATGTATGAAATAAATACAACCTGGTTATGTGTCATTACCCACCACTGCACAACGGAGCCAGGAAGAGAGCACCAGAGTTGTGATCGCTAATCTAATCTGTCTAGTAAGCATTTGTGGACCTGCTGGCACAGTGTATGTCAAATCCCACTCTGGTGTTTGGCCTCAGAAACAATGGCAATTCCTCCTGAAGTTCAAATGGTGGGGACGTGTGCTGGGGACTGGAGAGGCCATGCTACAAACCCTGCAGCTGTGGGAGTGGGGATTGAGTGGTTCTACTTGATCTATATTTTAGTTTTCTTTTTTTAATAGTTCAATTCACATGATAGTTAAAACTGTTATAATCGGTTGATTGTGGGCCGATGTGCCATAAAATCCTGCTGTTCCAAACTGCGAACATCTGCCACGCGCTGACAGGTTTGGAAATTGAGAAGTGACCCAACCAGCTCTCTCCTCTTGAACAATTCCTGATGTGTATGTTTATATAAAACACATGACCCAGAGTGCAGGCTCAACAGCCTGGATCTTACTGTAATATGCTGCTATCATCATATTGACATACACAGAGGTTCTCATTGGGATTGGGATTCCTCCCTCCCCCCGCCCCAAATCGCTTATGTTAACACATGTCTGCTTCCAAAATCACAGCTGGAAAATTAAAGAGAAATGAGACATATAAAACATGTGTCTTGTTTATTTACCTGAAGTAAATGTCAGGTTAAAAGGAGCTAAGAAGGAACCTTCACAACCAGAATACATGGTAAAAACATCCACAAATTCGAAGAAGTGTTGTTCTGAAAGGTACCAAAGTGGAAATACTGGCCCTGAACTATGGGGTAGAATTAATGTTACAGTCTCTCACTTTCAGAAATATTTTACAGAACTCGATCTCGTTCTCTCGCCTCCCTTTTCTTTAATTTCATCTAGTTTTACATATCATTTTCTCTAGCACTCCTTTCCCATCTGTTTATTTCTCTGTATCTCCCCAACCCTTCTCTATTCCCTATCACAGATCATTCCACTCCAGGTTCCCAGTTCTCTCCCTTGAGCTTATCCCTTCCGCTCTTGCTGCCTGCCACAGAGCATTTCCCTCCTCAGGACGATTTTGCTTTCACTCTTCATTTGAGTTTCCCTCCACTTTCTCCAGGCTTCTGTCTTTACACTGGTTTTACTTTATATTTTCTCTTTTATTCTTTCATTTCTTTCCCCCATTTTGGTTAAACCTACCCTGTACTCGACTCTCCACACCTTCATCCAGCTGACATCATCCCACCCTCTAACCGCTTCCTACTATAGCATCCCTTCCCTCCTGACTTGTAGCTCACACTCTCCAGTTTCTGGGTCTCCCTCTCCCAGGCTCCCTGCTCCCGGGGAGTCTCCAGCTTCTCCCCAAAACCCCAAATCCTAATGCCTTAATTCTGTGTTCCTGCCACCCCCACATCTGCCTGTCCCCAGCCCAG